CTATAGCTTTTGATGTCTCACAGCAAGAGCACAATTTTTCCACAAAAAAGCTATCTTAGCTCTCTTGGGGATTCGAAGGAAATTCTTAATATGGTGGACCTCCAATGCGATCGACACGACACTTGCGCTTCGGAATGGGAAGGTTAATGTTTGATGAATGACATATTTTATAAAGTGGAGTCATTCAATAAAGTGTTACGATTTGTTATCTCGTAAACAGTCGATATAGCTTTTTGAAGCAGGAATTCTTCTGAGACACTATCTAATACGAAGATACCACACCCTAGCATTAAAAGCGCATCAGTACTGGTATAGCCCACAAAGTCTCCAAAAAAGGTGTCAGCCCAGGGAAATCTGACTTTCTGCATGTATCAATTCAACTCGAATAAAACCAGAAAACTCACCGAAAGCGCAAGAAAATGAAATCAACAGCAATGTCCAACGCATGTCGACAAGACTGGCACAAGTTCAGCACTTCGTCAATATGTTTGTGAGATTTGTTTTATAGACGACGCTCTAGAGCAACTGTTTCACGAGACAGACGTCTCAAGGCAGGCGATGGACAAAGTTCGAGCTATAAAGCAGATGAGCGGAGAGGCACAGAGTTAAGAGCATTTATCCCATGACAAATAAGCAGTTGTTGCTGATGACTCATCGCTGGTAGAATTTTCAGTTCTTGAGATCATAGTTATGTCCGAAAGTTCAATACCACGTTATGTTTAAAGCGAATATTGCAAGAAGAATTACTCGAGAATAAAGGGTACTGCAAGTTTCTTCGCTTTGAATTCTATTCTCTGACAGTTCTGAGAGAACACGACCACAAAGTCCGCCTCAGTTTGTAATGGAAATTAAAAAATTTTATAGAGTAGCTATTTCAAGAGTGGCATTAGGGAATGTGCAATAACAATTTGCAAATGCGGCGAACAATTATAAAGTTATTTCGTAGTATTAGTTGAACATAAACAATCTATAGTAGAGCGAAGTCTAAAATTGGCAACTATTTCGGATATGCCAAACAAATCGAATTTTGTACCTCTTTCTATCAAGTTAGGACAACGGCATAAGTTGTATATCACTTTAATGCTGTTTAAAGCACTAATGGCATAGGTCCAAGGATAGCTCTAATAACCTTAGCAACCTGTTTAAGGGAGTTGCTCTGTCCGCTAATGGTAATCTTTAATATCGCGGCCTTTTTACCAAAGTAGGTGCTACCGCAGCACTATACCACATGCGACTTTATCCGCAGTCCTACTGTAATCGTCAAATGTAAAAAGATGCAAATAAATGGGGATTTTAGCTCTAGCCATTCAAAGTTGTGTTTTTAAAGTCTTGAAAAAATATCGTACTAGAAGAATTATTAAGCACCAAGATGTGATCACATTTGGGAAACACTCTGCTTTAACGAGGCAATTTTCATGAGCTCAAATTCAGTGCAACTTTATTGAGCCTCAGTTGATAAATCCCAACTTTAGGACTTGAGTAATCAGAAATCTCTCGCCTTAATGAAACTACTCAGTATTGCAAATTACAAATTACTGCAAAGGGGCTTTTGGGAAGGCGGATGTAGGAAAACGACCGACAGATCGAAGTAAAATGTTTGTATTACTGTCTCCTACCATGCAAAATATCCCAGCAAAGTGATAAGAATGAGGAGAAGGCAGGTTTCATTCTTAGGATTGAAGTCCCTGCTTATGGATCGTTTTAGCACCACAGGGGATGTGA